ACACATTTATATTCAATTGAGATACCCTGTGCAAGTCTTATCGATAACAAGCTTAAGTTAGTGTAGTTACTGTTACTGTTTGATTAATGATTTTAAAGCAAGCCAACTTACAAATAAATGGTTATTGAATGCAACTGTTATCACTTTGTAAATTATAGTGTCTCTCTTGAGCTTCTAAGCTGTTGTGAGAGAGCAAGAACAACAAGAACGCATTATTTTTGCATTTCTCCAATAAGGATCATTTTTTACAAATCAGAACGAACGATCGATAAATCAAATACTTATCATAAAAACAAATTATAATTAAATCAATAGTTAGCTAATACAAAAGTAGTCAAATAAATATTTGCCTGCTAATATTGACAATTTCCATTATACATGATCATAAAAAAAAATTTGTCGAGAACTCCTACACCATATTTGAATCATACATCATTTACAGACCTGTGTACTTTCAGAGCCATTATATATTGTGCGTAACATAACACATTCTCTACAACATACCCCCAGTAGCACAGCGGTATGTCTGCGGACTTACAACGCTAGAAACCGGGTTTCGATACCCGTGGTGGGCAGAGCACAGATAGCCCTTGTGTAGCTTTGTGCATAATTAAAAACAAACAGTCTACAACATACCTAAGATAAATATATATATATATATTTATATTGATGGCATTTGTTCAGTTAAAATGAGCATGAATATCTGTGAGTAACCGCCCATGCCTTCCAATTAATTATTACAAAAAGAAGATAAAATGTGCTAATCAAATTAATACTTATTTGAGACAATCTCAAGAGACAGAGAAAAGTATGATTATGTCTATATATTATTGATTTTCGTAAATACACATGAACAGGTCGGCCGTTGTTCTTTCAGAAAATTATCGCCAAATGATACGTTCACTGTCGAAGAACTTTACTGGTTTAAAACTGATGAAGTCTGTAGTCTAAACATAGATTTAAATTATTGTAGAACATATCTTTGGTTATATGATGCGATAACATGAAATTTATTTCCGTCACCCTAGATATAAGAAATGCCTCTAACATACAGTAGGTTGACATAAATTCATATATACATATTTTTAGTGTTACGAGAAGAAGATGAAATAAAGATTATTTGTTTCAACTGTCAACACAAAACAGGAATCTATAACCCTTGATTTTCCTGAACTCTGTTGTATTTCTCAAAAAATTGGAAGATTAATTTTGGAGACCTTTTGAAATACGATTTTGTTATAGATGACCAAAACGCTGTTGCTTTTATGTTTTAAAACTAAAATACACATATGTGTACATAAATCAATATGTACAAGATGAATGAATTCCAATCGGGAGAAAAAGTTTGTTCAATTTGCTAAATCATACATATGTATTCGCTTAATAAATATGTTTCAATTAGCAAGTTTGTCAGGTTAATGTTGTTAATCACATAAAGATAAGGAACGCCACAAGAAGATACAAGTCCAAATAAAACATGAATATTCTTTACTACATGATAATTCCAAAAGAACGTGTCATATGAGACAATACAAAATCTGCTATTATATTTTTTTTTGCCATTAATTTTTCTTTGCATCCCCTTCACTGAATCGAACTCCTGTTACATTGCAGAATTTTATGGTTGTGATTAAACTGTCGAGTTGCTAATTCTCGAGTATTTTTCCAGATCATCGTTTTTGTTGTACTTACGTTAATTATTTCGTTTTCAACGACTTGTTCGTTGACCATGAAAATCGTCACCAGAGCATGATGTTAAAAGCACGTTATAAAGTATTGTGCACTATTATGGCAGCAGTCTGAGTATGTTCTAATTATTCGTATCACATATAAACTTATTTTTCTTTAGAAAACTAACTTGAAGTAAAAACATGATTAATGGATTTTTACGAAAAAGAAAAAAAAATCAGTGTTTGAGAAAGCACAATGAATAATTAATTATTCATAATACAAATCTAGTCTTTTCTGAAACTGTTAAAAAATTCTGCTTTATGTTTGACATTTTATATAAAAAATATAACAACGATTTTATACGACAAAACATTTCTATTGTTTCATCGACTACGTGCTTGGCTTCAATGTTTATTAGCAAGAGCGCCCTCTATCAGCTTTCTTGATGTATTTTAAGGTGACTCGTCCTGAGTATTTCTTTCCTTCTTGTTGTTCACTGAAAATGTACACCCGCTGGTGCTTGCTAAAAATAAAGGGACATCTGTCTCTTGATGGCACTCGCTAGTTCAGTTTCAACTAAGCAAGCACTAACCAGAGCATCTATTGTGCCCTAAGGTAATGTTGACTGAGTGCTTTTTTCTTCTTCGTGGGTGAAGGAGCTTTTGTATTTTCAACCTTATTCAAATGCTGTGTTAGCAAATTCCTTGTTGATCTCAAGCCCGGTTTGGTGTCTGGTAGAATGTACAAGTTTGCATTTTAAGAGTTGAATAGGGAGTATTGACATTAACTGTTCTTAACTTACTGTATGAACTGAAATTACGAGAGGGAGAAGTGTACTTGTTTTAACTTAATGTGTTTTTTAATATTATATTATATTTATGTATATAAATCTGACAATGAGCTTTTCCGGTGAAACTGTTTTCTTTACCTGTATTCCGGCAGCTGAATATAGTTATAACTCAACCTGTATATTTTTGGATAACATATTTATTGTTGTAACATTTTGCGAATAAATATTTTCTTGTAAGTTTATATTTTTACGGTTCCGTTCACTATACAGGGTTGAAATGCGTCACATCAAAACGATTTTGCTTATGCAAACCAAAAAGTCACGTTACAGTGTCAGCAAATATGAAGTTGTAGTAGTAGTACGGATTGTATCAGAACTACATTTTCATATATTTTTGGCGTTTCGCAGGTAGTGTGATGCCACAGAAAATTAAACGCTTTTGGTAGAATTATGTATTAACCCTTTCCATCAGAAAATTTTCTTGCACTCAGATCGTTAAAACATGTTCAGATCGAGGAGTTGGAATTTCAAAGACGAGGATATCCCTTGTACTTAATGACATTGGAAAACACAGGTGTATGGACTAGCATGGGGAAACACAATCATCCAGAACGAGACCTGCAACAAGTTGTACTTCTGTCGTGGTAAAAAAAAAACTGCTGTGTCTAGTAACAGTTGAGAATCCACGAACACAACGGTTAGTGGCAAAAGCCGTCTCCGTCTCCAAGGTAACATAGTACGAAACATAATTAAGAAGAATCTTTGTTTGTACACGAGACCAACAGGATACGAGTTCTCCGAGATACGGCTTCCAATCATACCACTTGTTCAGCGGTCACATATCTCAAGTAGCTGGAGAATGAAATGGATATTCATGCTATTCCATACGAAAAATTACTGGTGAACTCGCCAGACGCAACGTTCATAGATTTCTGTCCAACTGAACTGTTAAAACAGGCACTGAAAAACTCTCGTCCTCCTACACAAGATGTATTATAAAAAAAAAGTGAGAAGTGATGTGTTTTGGACGGAAGGTTTTGTAATGGAAACTACGCAGCAGGGCTACTATCAAGATAGCCCAACGTGGCGACATGAACAGTAACGACGTTGTGAGGCTTCAAAACGGTTTTCATATAACGTACTCAATCGTCTGTAAAGTTTTCAAATATTTTAAACTAGTCACACGTATGATGTAATATCTTATGTCACACTGTGCCAAACGAATCGTGATAATTTTACATTGGTTTCTATTTTTTGTTATTGTTTTTTATCTTTACGCGGACATGCATAATAAAGACGTTTTGACATATTCTTACATTTTATCAAAACACCAGTTTGGCATATTGTAGCACGTTTACAGTAAAACGTCTCCGGGTACATTTAATTTAGCTTTTTTTTTTTCACGGAATTAAGTAACTTAGTACACGTATTGATGGTAGTAAGTTGATCTCTATGTGTAGTTCTATCATCTCATAACATGTTAATTGGGTTTCTGTTGCCTGGTTCGTTTTAGTAAATCAATGGTTTTATTTCCCATTTTACAAGGAGATTGCCCACCTACCCCCCCCCCCCCATTTCTATTGAAAATTTTAAGCATGCTGACATTTTTTGCATTACTTTAACACATTTCATTTACATGCAGGATAAAAGCACTCCACTGTTAGCACCATAAAACAAATTGTATTTTTTTTAAGAAACCTCTTGTGAATAGAAGTGTATTTTCTTACGGGAAATCAAGACAAAACACGTTCCTCGGATCACCTTGTTCTTCAAAATATGATGCGCTCATTGAGATAAAAACAAAATATAGCCTGGGATAGTCATGAAAATTGGATTTGAAATATTTTACGTTCCGATCACTGGTTCTTCGTAATAATTCACTAATAGACGCTCACTAACCTTTACTATTTTGTTAGATGTATATTTCAAGCTCAAATTGCATCTTGGATGCCTATTTGTATTGTTGTATTTCGCTTATGCTTGATACACTTTATATTAAAACAAGCATAAGTAGTTTCTGGTGGATACTATTATGCAACGCCCACCTGCCATATGACAGCCATATTTGTACTTTGTTATTACATAAATTGTTAAATATATATATAGCTGTGTGTGTGTGTGTATGTGTACAAAATATTAATGCCATAAAAGCTGCACAATCTGTTTGATATATATATTATTCTTATAAATTTAGAAAGTTTGTTCGTTTATTTTCAGAGCAAAGTTACATTAGGCTATCTGCCTGTGTCCACCGCTGGAAATCGAACCCCAGATTCTAGCATTGTAAATCTGTAGACTTACCGCTTTCCCACCAGGAGACAAATTTAGATAGGAATAATTGCAGAGTAAAACATTTTGATACTGAAATAGTATTGTATAAAATGTTTACTACTAATTAAGCAGCGATAAAATATATGCACAATTCTTTTCCACTAAATATTAAATAAGGAAGTGTAGTTTAGCCACACAACTGAAACGAAGAACTTACTAGACGCACAACTGAAACGAAGAACTTACTAGACACACAACTGAAACTTACCTCCATCAGCATAAGACTCGGAACCGTACCCATCCTGAAGACCATTTGCCCACGTTCCTTCGTATTTGGCACCAGAGGTGAGGGACTGTCGAACACCATAGCGACCCTTCATTCCCTGGGTCCACTCCCCGCGGTACACCCAACGGTTACGAGTCTCTACTCCTAGTCCATGGCGTTTGCCGTTTTGCCACTGGCCTTCGAAGATGCTGCCGCTGGGCCAAGTGTACACTCCTGAAACTTCGAATCCGAAGTGCCATGATCCACTGTACTCGCCCTGTCCCTTGGGGCCCGTGCACACTCCGTGCCCATGAGCCTTCCCGTCCTCCCAGCCTCCGCAGTACGTGCCTCCATCGTCGAAGTCGAAACGGCCGCCAGTTGTAGTGGTGCGAGGTTGCACGTTGTGTGCTGTCATGAGCGCAAATGGCGTGTAGATGCACCATCCAGGAACAAATCAGTCTCAAGCATTGTTGTCAAAATCACATAATGACGTGACTTCTTTGTAAACGCTGATATATGCTGTTGTTTGTTTAAACTAGTTGCAAATATCTAAACAGTGTCTATAAAGCGCTAGGCGATATAAGTTGTCACTGCCAGCTGTAGCTTGGAAGGTTTGCTATAATCAGGGAACTAAGGTTCATGCTGTGAGCTGTTAACTGCGAAGAATATCTACATTTCGAAATCCGCAGGTCGTTAAGTTGTACAGTGTCGCAACGTATAAAACGTAGACAGCAAACAGTGTGCCATTATACGCGAGCTGCGCTTTCAGTTAGGATTGGTCTTCTGTTAGCTACCCATGTAAAACGACCAGCATTTGCGCATGTACACTCCTGTGGTGAGGGCTCCATCTAAAAGAAACAAACAGCTAAATTCTTTAAGCCTACTTGATGATTGGTGCTCCAATTTTCAGGGAAAATACAAAAATATAAATAAGTAGAAATAGTGATTAAAAAATGTAAACAAATTTATTATATTTAAATAAATTAACAAGACAAAGTAAAAAAAAAAAAGCGAAATCAGAACAACCTTTCTGTTCTATTAGCAGTTACCTCTTGTCACTGATCGGAGCTTAATTCAGTCTCGCGTTGTATGGGGCGTGAATAGCGTGTCTCAGGTGCAGTCTTTGTGACGTCAGGCTAAGACGTACGGAGATAACTGCATTATCACAGTTCAGCGAAATTTCAATTCTATCTCACTGTCAGTCGAGTTGTGCTTTTACCCTGTGCTTGTTGGTTTAGTTTAAATACGATAATTTGCCTCCTAGTATTTTTTAAACAATCTCATAGTCATTTGCTGCACCTTTAGTTTTGGTAAGTACCGTACATAGCTGTTGAAGAAACTGTTACTATATGCTATTTTTCTCACGAGTACTTAAAATTTTTTTAGCAATTTCATGCAAAGCTACTCGAGGGCTATCTACTCAAACATTCTCCAGTTTAGAAATGATAGACTAGAGGAAGGCAGCTAGTCAATACCGCCCACCTCCAACTCTTGGAATATTCTTTTATCAATGAAAAGTGAGATTGAGCATGTTCGATGACGGGATTGAAACACGTAACTCGCAGGTTGCAAGTCGAGCGCCCTAACCACTAGGCAAGGCCAGGACAAAGTATTCAATAAGGACAGCACTGTAGTCCGTCTTTTTTATAAGAACAAAATAGTTGTTCGTATTCTTAAATGACGTTTGGTGTCTAAAGAGAACAACATAGTATTTACAAGTAACATTTACCTGCAAGATTGTACTAAGTCAAATACGAACATAATGATAGTACAAGTTGAAATATGCACAACTATCAACTAATACAAGGAATAGCCATGAAATATGTGTATAGACATGGAATATATATTCTTGACTATTAATTTCAAAATTCTTATCTAAATAATAAAAATTAGTCAACTATAACATTGAAAACGAAGGAAACGACATATCGTTCTAACTGTTGGTGAAAGGTCATTCATATAAGTAAATAACTTGAAACGTGAAAAAAATCATTAAATTCCGCTTATACAAGAATATAACATCTAGTAAAACTATTTAAATACTGGGTGAATAACGTTAGTGAGATATAATTTTCTTATCTGATGTATAGGGGAATTAATTCATATGCTTTTGTGTTCTTGTAAATGGAAATTGGCTTTTTTATCGAAATTTTCATATTAGTCAGAAATGGCGGGAGTTTGTTTGTTATGAATTTCGCGCAAAGCTATACGAGGGCTATCTGCGCTCGCGTCCCTAATTTAGCAGTGTAAGACTAGAGGGAAGGCAGCTAGTCATCACCACCCACCGCCAACTCTTGGACTACTCTTTTACCAACGAATAGTGGGTTTGATCGCCCCAATATAACGCTCCCACGGCTAAAAGGGTGAGTATGTTTGGTGTGACAGGGATTCGAACCAGTGATCCGCAGATTGCGAGTCGAGCCACCTGGCCATTCAGGAACATTCCCGGTTTGACACTGAAGAAGAAGAAAGGTCCACTTTCGAAAGCGCTCGTGTTGTATGGTATTGTATTTTTATATGAAATTAATGTCTTGAACCTATCTGATTTCCTAACATCATGAAAGATGCTTTGGAAGTCAGATACCAAAGTATAAAATAAAAATTTCTAATTAAAACGACCTTACTAGAAGTTATTTATGGTGTACTCTAGACACATCTGGACAAACAACTTCATTAAGGTTTGTTAATATTTTTCTATCCACACCGCGGGTATTTAAACCCAAATTTTAGTATTTTAAGCTCAATTGTTGTACTATTAAAATATCATAATAAAATATTGTCTCAATTCAAGAAAATAAATCTCTGCCTTATAAATTTGTACTAAAATGTGTAGTAATTGTGAAATAATAAAAAAAATAAAATAAATCAATCCTTTTAAACACTGTTTTATAATTTTTTGTCACTGAAATATAACGTTTAGTTTAGGTTTCACCTACTTATTTTCAACACTTGTACTCACACTTACGAATATACAGTATAGATGCATTAGACAATTAAACTTCGGCATACTATAAAATCTATATAAAATACTATTTTTAAGACAAATGTATAACCTAAGGTGTATTGTGAACTTTCACATATTACTTTCGTTCTGGTATTTTTTAATTATTTCCTATTATCAATATTGCAGTATATTAATCATAGTGTTCTCGCTGCGACAGAATGACTCGTGTAGTACATCGAAATGTAGTTCATAGTGCTGAATAACAGGAGTTTACTGATTGTAAAACCTCGGTGAGGGTAACTTTAAGAGTTAAAACGTTTTAATCAACTAGGTTTTCTAGCTACGTAGCTTATACTAAATATATTCTAGTTTGAATTCTACAAATAATGTACAGTTTACAAATTAATTGTTTTTTTAAACTGTAACTATTCAATATGTATTCTTATTTTAAAAAGTCAGCTAAGGGAGCTACTGAGTTGCTTTCGACCTAATACTCATGGAAATAGGTCTTGTAACTATGGTGTCGCGTGTGCTCTGTTGTTTGGAAAGAATGCTATAAAGCAGAATATACTGCATACAAATCGATAGTGATCTGTTCCACTGGCTAGTTATGTGATGCTCCAAGGATACAACATCCTCTTTTTGATATGAGAGTGACCGTTGGTCACGCGCTTAGCGTCTGGGACCTGAGAATAATGTCATTTTTGTTTTTAGAATATAATGCCATATGTTCTTAGTATGGAACAAGATGGGTACAAGTAACTCAAGATAAGATGATTTTAAACTAAGCTCTAACTCAGAATGTAAGGTATCAAGTTGATATTAAACATCTCTCTCCACTAAAGGCGCCACATTATACACTTGTACATTAATTTTTTTGAAATAAAGATTGTTTCATGGTGTTTAATTTGAGTACAGTTTCTCTGTGTCAAACTGAATCGAGATTAAGAAAATTAAGATTTTTTCTCCAGATTATAGTTTCTGGGAAATCTCTACAGTATACCACAGAATAGGTAGGAAGGACAAAGTCTGTTGCTGTTACAACATGATTTATTTTTGCAGAATGTCTGTTTTCTCTAGACGACTATTTGCCTGTGCTCTTCTGGACTGCTGTTTTATTGAGTTGAAACTTCGTACATGAGAAAATGGTATTTTCGATAGGTCGAAGGACTTAAGAACAGGACGAAGAGTTGTGCAATGAGGAATGGAAACTGTCAAAGAGACTAGAAGTTAGGACTAGAAGTTGTCTCCTGTACATCGGTCTTTAACAATGCTACAAAAATACACGACTTATTTTTCATTGTTGCTGAATACCCCGGTAAAAAAATCTGCTGGAATCTGGTGCCTCCAGAATGGGCAAACAGGTTCTGCCTCTGAGGTTTTTCCTCAATGCACATGAGTATCTTCGTGATGATAGGCGGTCTAGTGATTTCATGCCTCTATAGAGCAATCTTTATAAAACTTTCAAGCATATGTCGACCACAGTACATCAACCCCGGCTCTGATTGACACCAACTTTGACCAGCTAAAGCTGTTTCACCAGCAGCTGAGAAAGAAGCAAAAATTGGTGAAGGTGGTAGTCTGTGAGGCCATGGTGATCCTCTCTGTGACATGAGGTATATTGTCAGGGCAACCACGGGTCACAGAGAAGCCTGGAGTCTTGCAAAGCCAAAGGACAGGTTACATCTGGAAACTCATCGTTTTGCAATCCAAATGCTGGAAACCTAAAAGAAAAAAAATAACTCGTTTGAGTATTGTAGTCCCTGTACTTGTCTACTCCACCATACATTTAATGTTAATGCCATCTTAACTTGGTGTTATATTAGAGACTACATGAAAAAGGTTTATGCCACCCTCCCAGGTTCTTGTGAGCATTTAAGGATATGACCAAGGAAGGTCTGGACCATTTTATTTTAAAGATTTCAAATAGATCACTGTCTGGAACCAACAGAACCAGGGACAGTCAATGCAATGTCTGATGCTGAATCTGTATTGTTAGGTGCTCAAGTCGATCAGGTACTTGGATGACGATGAGCCGCATTAGATCCCCAATGATTAACTAAAATACTGACTGAAATAACATTAGTTACGACGGTTACTGATTTTAAAATCAATTTCTAAAAAAAGTAGCATTTCTTGATTTCCCAGCTATAGCATGATATTTCAAGATAAAATGTATGCATTATATTTTATGATTGTCATTCGATTATCAAATATTATAATGGTTTGTTGTATGCAAGATAGACTGAATTGAACGAGGCTGCAACCATAGATTTTGAGCCAATGGAGAAAGAGTTTCAGTACAAGATATTTGCAGAATATCAGATGTTGGCTGCATGTTGATGTGATGTCTAGAACATCAAAAGCTTGCTCAAATGGAGATGATCATTCAGAAATTGAAAAATCAATTGCATATGCGTTGGCATCATTGTTTTATGAGCTTACCAAGTCATTTTGAAAGCAAAATGGTTGTCCAACATTTCACGAAAACTGCTTATCCTAACTAGCCAAATAACAAATGTTCTATGTATCAGACCACGTTATACTCGTTAGAATCTCTTTAGTACACTTAAGTGTGTACACCTGCTCTACTCTTCTATCTGGAGTGAGAAAGTTATGTTATTTCTGAGCATAGAATGTACATTGGGTTGTTGTGAATCTGAGAGGAATCATTTTTGTTTCACTGGATTTGCCTGTATTTACTTTTCTATGACGCCAACCAAAGTGTGTGGTTCGACTTGCATATAATGATACACTGTCTTGATGGTTCAGTTTCTGTTGTTGCCAACTGTCTAGGACAGTAAATATTCTTCATTGTGGTTTATTGTATTTAGCTTAGGTTGGTCTGAGTCTGTGTGTATGTCGGTAAATACGGCAGCAACAGCATAAA